CCGGGAGATTGCAGGGCAAAACCTTAGTCAAAGCACTCTTTACTGATTTCATAGTCAGCCGTATCACTGTCGATTAATCGTTGCTTGGTGTGATTAATCATTTGTCAGCTCCTGTAGCACTAAGGGGTCTTGGACCGGGGTGCAGAGGTCACTCTGTAAGCAGTTTGAAATAGCCTTGTCTGTGCTATCGCTGGTCTGGGTTTATGCGGTAAGGCTGAAGAGCCCCCCTCTCCACACCCCATGCTGTGGCAGTCCCCCGTGGCTGCTTGGCCATACGTGTGGCCGCTTGGCCATACGTGTGGCCGCAGCACATTTGCTGAGGTGCTTTGGGATAGCGGGGCAGGTCATGCCAGTGGCACGTTCACAGAAACACACGCACTGCAGCCTTGTACAAATTTCCCTCGTTTTCCCTTTGGTGTGAAAGGAAGATCTGACGCTACCGAAACCTTGAGTATCTGTTATGACTTTCCTGCATGTTTTAAATTTTTTAGCTAGGAATTGTAACTTTTTTTCATTTACTTTCTACTTTTTTGAATCTTTTAATTCCAACAGGCTGCCATCTGTATCTAACTAATTTTTTTTTTTTATACTTTAGATGCACTCAAAACCAATTGGTTCTATTTCCAAGCAAAATATCTCAGAGAGGGATTTGGGATCTGTTTGAACTCTGTTTTCACCCAGCTCTCTTGTGAAATTTAATGTGTAATTTCAGTCTGAGGGAGATAACTGCAAAGATCTAAATGACATTTGTATGTTGGTCACATTATGTATACAGTCCACGACAAAAAACCAACATTGCACTGTTTTTTGCAACAATTCTTTTGCAAGAAATCTGTGAAAAACCAGCTTGATTTAGGGAAGGACACTGGTGGGCCTGAACCACCAGCTTTTGTGAAATGGCTCTTCTGGGTACAAAGAGAGCACGTTAATCTGAACCTTTAAGAAAATAACTAATGTAAACTGGGTTGTTGAGATAGTTTGCTTGGTAAACCAAGTGTGTGCAGACCTCTGGCTTGCCTAGACAGCTCCTCCTGCTGTGCAACTGCTTGGGGATTTTATTCAATCCAATCTGGTGTGAAGTCAATACTAGAGACTGATCGCGCCAGAAAAGGAGCCCAAGCCGGGATTCGGCGTGACGTGTTGGCTTGCTTGGGCTGGAGGATTTGCAGGAGGTGCGCAAAGTGTTAGCTGGTTCTGCCTGTCCGTGTTGATCCCAGTGGGGCTTAGAAGAAGGGAGGGAGTGGCTTCATGGAGCCATTCATTTTATATATATATATATTTGATCCTGTTCAAGACTTCAGTCAACAAGGTGATTGTCTTAAAGCAATATTGTGGGTACGCACTTAAGAGAAAGTAGTGGCACAATACTGCTGTTGCTCCTTCTGGGGAAGGAGGGGCAGAGAAGGGAGAGACAAACCGTTCCTATATACTAGTCAGTGCAGAGTTACTGCAGCAAGGAGATGAAAGAGTAAATGCAGGCAGATTAGCAGCCGAAGTATTAAAACAAGCTAATATTAAGTACTCCGTGCCTTTCATTTGACTGGGGTATTCTGTTGTTCACCTTGCACTCTGCAGAATCATAGAGGAGGAGAAAATAACAACTAGTTCTGGCAATGGTTTGAAAAAAAAAAAATTAATATTTCTGTCTTTGATTTCCTTCAGTTTCTCTGCTGGAGCAAAAAGGTACTGTTGTGTATAGATACTGATTTTGATAAGAGGATGCTGGGTGCAAAAGATGGATTGCTCTCCTGATAGCTAAGTCTCTTCAGTGATGAAAGATCAGGCATGTTAACAGTACAACTTTATTGCGACTGCAGCGTGGTGCTTCAGCTGTCCTTCATGTGATCTCAGGCATCTTCAGCTGCTGTATTTTTAGAGTTGTTGTGCAAAGAAGATTAGCAAAGGACTTAATACCAATGTGTGAAAGGGATTCTTTCTCAAGTATGGAAATGTTCTACCTATTTAGGTGATGGGTTTGGGCAGTTATCTTAGTTATATCACCAGGGCTGTGCTTAGACATGTGCCTCTCTGCCCTGACCTTTCTTCATTCTCCAGATGTTTAGCTGTCCGAAATAGTGACTGCACTCTGTTAGTAGTTGTCCTGGTCTTGGTTTTTCTAGATTTAATGGCAGTTTATTAGGAAGCCTGTCTCCAGCTGTGTCAAGTGCATAGTTAGAGAAGAAAAAAACAGCTGTTTGTTGAGATCCAGTGGCTTGATCTTCAAATCAGAGCCAGAGAGCTATTCAGTGGTGGTGCGGGGGGCTTCAGATTGGCCATTATAGTCTTTTAATAGCAAGAAGGCACTTACAGCTCAGTATTCCTGGTGAAGCCTTTGAAGTGAGGCCTTTGGAGGGTATCTGTGCTTTAATCGTTCACTGTCCTAGTAGAACAGCTCTTGTTTCTCTGCAGACTGCCTCAAATGTTCGTGGCACAGCTGCTTTGCACTTCTTAAATTTGTGGGAAATCATGAGTACTTGGCAAGAAATCCTTGGCCAGCCCTAATCTTGACCCAGAGAAATAGATGGTGTTGGCTCAGACTTTGCTTCCTACGGTTAGTCCTTGGTCATTGAACACGGAGCCCTGGAACGTACAGTGTTACCTGCTTGCTTGGAGCTGTGAGCCGAGGCGGTGGAGAGCGTGCCTGAGTTCAGGCAGCGAGGGATATGGTGCTGCGTAGCTGAGGGCGAGGAGGGCCTGGCACTCCTTGCAGGAATGGAGGTGCGGGATTTTAGGGGTATTTAGGCGGACTTGTGATTTGCTGTCAAGCCTATGGACAATCATAGTACTGTGCTTACATGATCTTCTGGCACTCAAGGTGTTGTGTAGCCTCTGTGCTAGCTGCTGTTTTCCAAAGTCATGGGATTAACTGGGGCACCCTTCTTTTAGGGTAGGGTTTTTTCAGTTACACTTTTTGCAAGTATGAGAAGGGCATGTGTGAGGAGTGGCATGGGACAAACAGTTGAAAAATAGTTGCTAAACATTCTGGTATTCCAAAGGTGTTCACAGCTTTAGCTGCTTGAATGCTGAGACTAGTAACTAAGAATGGGTGGTCTGGGTGGCCTGGAGAGACTCTTGCTTGTGTGTGCTAGAATAGAAAAGATTAGCAAGGGAGAAGAGGGTGAAGGCTTTGACCTCAAGATAGCACTAGATGGTGGTTTGGAGTCTGGAGGATCGGGAGAGGACAGGTAGAGGCACAAGTAGGAAGTATTAACTTTTCCTGAGAAGATTAATGTGCTGGCAACTGCAGATATCAGAGAGTGGGTAATAAGGGATGCACCCCTTATGCTCTGTGACCCTTGAGGAAAGTGCAGTATACCAGGAGTGGATAGCTGGAAGCATCCTGCGGCAGTGCCTGACTGCTATCTCTGAATTTCCATTGTAACAACTTAAGCTTCTTAAAGCAATGAGTGTGCTTTTGTTGTATGGAGCCAGGTGGATTGGTGTGGGAAACAGTCACTTGCCATGGGAAGCTTTATATTTATATAAAACGTTTTAGTTGTGATCAGGAGAGAAAAGCACAGGTAGAGGCCTCACAGATATAGGGAAGTTCTCTAAGAAATGTGGGAAAGCAAGCAGAACATTACTCAGCGACTTGGAGAGGATGATTTAAAGACCTGTGCGCTTTGTTCATGGCCAGAACTCAAGCTGGTAGTCTGCTTGCACTTTTCCCCTGGTACTAGAGCAATACGATAATCTGCAATAACTTCTATTCTGTTCAGAGGTCTAGGAGCAGGAGATCTGGAATGTGTCCTTAAGTGCCTGAGCTATTTTAAGGGCAGTTATTATTCACAGCACCAGGCTACATGAATACGTACAGGGGCAACCAGCCTTTGAACTGCTGTGGTAACGGGGAATGCAGTCACCCCTGAGCGTGCCCATGGCACTGTGCACGTGCTGACAACTGAGCTGATCTCGATCATTGTCACATTAATATTTTCTTCTGTGGTAGACAGAATATAAATACTCGTGAGAGAATTATATGCTGTATAAAATGATTGTCCCGTCTTGGAAGATGGAAAGATGGCAGCAGTTCATAGAGGTTAGGCTCGTCTGTGGAATGATAGCAAAAAAATATTATGACCAAAATGGGGTAGCTTTCTGAGAGTGCTGTGGGAGGAGCACGGGTTCTCCTCCTGTTGCAGCTGTAGCTGAATCCTGGGCTGGCTTCTTGTGCAACTTGTGCTAGTGTTGCTTCAATTACCTATTTACAATAGCATCCCAACATGCAAGACATTTTTCAGAAATCCAAGGAAAACATTCCATCTTGCGAAGATCTTGCAATACAATGAGAGATGGAGAAGTTAGGGGAAAGAGGAGCAACAGTAGGTAGCATTTATGCAAGTTAACTTTGCTGCAAGTGCCATGGACAGCTGGATTTTTGCTAGAGCTGATAAAGAAGCTTGGGATAAAAGGCTTTTCAGAGGGATGTGGGTTAATTAAAACAAGGAAGATTTCAGAACCAGGACAGAATTGTTTTAGAAATGGATAAATCAAGGTAAAGTGAGTAGCCAATAATTGGTAGTCTAGGACAACTAGAACTGTTTGACACATCACATTTGAATACTCCTGTGCTTTAAAATATTTTTACTCCTTCATACAGCCAATATGTCTGACTCGAATTTTATTATCTCTGGGTCAAGTCTTTAGCTAGTAGAAATCAGCAGAGCTGTGCTTGCTTTTTCTAGCTAAAGATTAGGTTCCTGATGTTCAAGTTATTAAGAGTCCCTTCCCAGTACTCTCTAACAACAGGCTTTTCTTTCTACTTCATGTGTGAATGAAAGTTATGTTAAGACATGCTTAGCTTGCTGACTGACATGAGTGGATGCCGGCTCTGTTCATAATTATTTTGCTTTAACTTCACCCTCTGCGTTGGCTCCCCTTTTCTCAGAGGTGAAGGGCATCTGTTTTGTCAGACTCTTGCTGGAAGGGAAATAATTAATTCAGGAAGAGTTAAAGTTGATCTACTCAGAAGCTGAAATTTGTTTTGTTTTCACTTCCAGGCATATGAGAAGCGCTTTCCTACATGTCCAGAGATCCCAGTCTTCCTGGGGAGTGAAATCCTGCATGAATCCAGGAGTGATGACGGAGCTATACATATCATTGAACGGAGCTGCAAACTGAACGTGGACGCTCCTAGGCTGCTAAAGAAGGCAAGCGGAACCCAGGAGGCAGAGAATCCTGGATTTTGTTGGCTGGCTCGGATAGATAGAGGCTTCTAAAGTTACTCTTTCTCTTTCTCTTTTTTTGCCTCTCCTTTTGGTTCTTCATCCTTCTCAGATTGCAGGGGTAGAGTATGTTTTCTTCATCCAGAAAAACACAGTGAACTGGAAAGAGCGAACTCTCCGCATTGAAGCCCACAATGAGACTTTTGCCAACCGTGTTGTCGTCCTTGAGACTTGTAGCTACTCAGTAAGTGCCTTGTTTCTACTTGACTGTGAAGGAAGTGTTGAAAATCATGTGCTAACATATGGGGTGAAGTTGCTCGAATGAATTTGAACACTGGACTGTTGCATAATATGATTTTAGATACTCTTAGACTGGTAGGCCATTGGGTCTTAGGTTGCAGGCTTTTTCCAGTGCTTTCGTAGGGCTTGAGAAGCTTTTTTAGGTTGATTGTGATTCTCTGACTGGAGTGTTAGGCCCTAGGGTGAGAGTAGAAAACACAGTTAGTGCTCCAGAACTGATGATGTTCCCTGAGTTCCTTTTGGATTGAAATTCAAGTTAATAAAAGCATCTGGAGCTTGGGCATGTATTTAGATCTGGATATTTAGAAGGAAACCCTCAATATCTATTATGATGAGGGCCAGAGGAAAGTCTGGCCTGCAAATAAGTGAAAGTTTTAGCATTTTGTCATGATCTTCATGCTCTAAATATTTGGAAAAAGGTCTTAAGCCTTATTTGTGGCCTGGGATGTCTCATTTTGTGGCTGTCTTCAGCAACGGTGTGCCATTTCATTGTAATCGTTTTATTAGGGCTCAGTCACCATTAAATAGCTTCATCTGTTTCTGAAAGCAATTGGATATTGCTTTTTGTTCCCTAAACAAAAGTCCAGATCCTGTTACTTACCTGCCCTTTTGGCAACTGGACAACAGCTCAGCTTCTTGGGAGTAAGCAAACTGTAAGTAGCATCTGTTTCAAGCAAGACAGTGTTGAAAAGCTGTTAACATTTTGGATGATGAGGGGCTTTCGTGAATGAGAGATCACTTGGTGATGCATGGGGCTTCCTAAAAACTACAGTAAATCAAACTTCCATCATTGTGAAAGGCTCTGACAGATTTGAAATGGTCAACTCTGGAATCACTCGGACATTGTTGCACTTGCTGATTTTGGCTGTGTTGCCTCCGGCTCCTGTCCTTCGGAAGGAAATGTCAGCAGCTGGGCTTTGAGGGGAGCGCTTTTCCTGGAACAGGGCGGGAGCTAGCTGTCTGCATCCTCAAGATGGTTCCCTGCTCTATTTTTACCAGTTCCCTTTTCCCTGCCAGAGTGCACCGGAAACAGGTTTATTCTCATCTTTCCTTTTCTGCAGTGTTCTCTGAAGCAACTTGGAGAAATATGATCCTGTTCTTGCAGTTACTTAATATCTCCCCTGGGGGAATTTGTGTCCTTTATAGCGCTCCTATCTTTGTGTGGGGGCTGGAATTTTTTTCTTTCATGTCAGTTTGTGAACAGCAGCACCTACAGAGAAAAGGCAGAGCCCTCTCAGAAAAGGGTTAAGTTTAAAAGAGGAAAAGATTATGTAGGTTTTTACCATATATAGAGTAACTGAGGGGAAATGGCTAGAAAGGAAAGGTGGATATTGAACTGACAGTGGGAAAACTCCCCGCTCTGCCATGTCTCCTGTTTTGGGGGGAAGACTGACATTAGTGGCTGAGTTTCCTACCCAAAACTAGAAAAAACTGTTTTGCATTTTTATTCTTTTACAGATGTAGAGGTTTTTAGTTGTGTGTTCTGAGAGGCAATCCCTGTCTTTCCATAAGGAGATCTTGACATGATGGTTTCAAGTGGGCAGTCTCACTACTATTCTAGTGCAACTTCTGCTACAAATATTACTGTTCAGGTCTGCTGGGGCAGAGATGGGTTTTAATCTTGATTTTCTCGTGCATGTGAAGAATGCTGGGTTAACCACAAACGTCCATATGTCCAGTTCATGATGTGCTTCTATTATCCTGGGAGAATTAAACTGACTGTTAAATGTGGGTCTGTGAGTGCCTCATAGGAAGCCCCTTCTGACCCCTCACTCTGTAGCTCTGGAGATTAAATAGCCAGTTTGGTACCAGGGGCAATGGCCCTGCCATAATGTGACCTATCTGTTACCATCCAACTATATGTGTATCTTTGGGCTTAGGTTCACCCTGAGAATGAAGAGTGGACTTGCTTTGAACAGTCTGCATCTCTTGACATCAAGTCATTTTTTGGCTTTGAAAGCACAGTGGAAAAAATTGCCATGAAGCAGTACACTTCAAACATCAAGCGGGTAAGATGGGCTTCCCTTTGTGCCGTAAAACCAAAATCAAACGCCTGCTCTCGGTGTGCCTCTATTTTCTTTTCTGTAAAATAGACCCACTGTAGTTTTATACACTCGCATATGTCTCTGAAATGCCTCAGCAGGGCAAATGAAGAAAAAGCCAGTGTGCAATGAGCAAAAACAATCTGCTTGCTGGAATGTGTCTGTGCAGGGGAGGGAGCAGGCTGTACCAGAGGAGGATCGCAGTGGATGCTGTGGGTGCCAGGCTCCTCAGACACTGAGGACACTGTTCTCATGCAGGAAGAGATAGTTCTGGGTAAAAATCAGCACCCTGTCTCTCCAGTAGCTTGGGCAGAGGTGCTTCCTTTTGGTGGTCTCTTCCCCTGGGCTGCGGAGGAACAGGGCAGCTAACTGATCGTTTGGGAGCAGGAGAATGGGATAAAAGTGTTATAAAGGTAGCTGCATCCATAGCACTGGAATTTGCCTGGCCAGTGTTATAATCCACTGTTTGTATGGTGCTTTGTACTGTAATTTTTCCAACAGGGTCATGCAGACCTGGAAGGAGACAACTGTTTCCCTTCTGTTTATCTCTAACAGCGTTATTCATCTGTCCTGAGGAAGACTCTTCTGCACCTTGCTGGTTTGGGGGAGATGGGCTTGTTTTTTCCTAATGAGAGTTTTCCCCTTCAGGGCAAGGAAGTGATAGAACACTATCTGAAGGAGTTGATCTCCCAAGGGATCACATTCATCCCCCGCTGGACACCTCCCCCGGTGTGCAGACAGAAGGATGAGCAAACCCCAGCTGTTGGACACGATGCTGATGACTTACCGCTTGAGTCTGGGGCTCGTGGAACTACCAAAGAGCAAACTGGCAGCTCCTGCCCTCCAGCAGAGGCTGTCAGCCCTGATGGTATGCACTGTCCAGGCAGCAGCAGCTGCTGGCAATCTAAATGCCTTGAGTAGCACTGACTGATGAGTTTATTTTTATTTTTTTGGCATGAGGTTTTTCTTCTGGATTGTGGGTGGAGAGGAGGGAAAGTTATTTTCTTTCTTCAAGAAAAACACAAACAATGGAACTTTTTTCCCAAAACTGAAAAGCCAAGAAAAACTGTGCAGGCAGTATGTTTTTGTTTGAGCTTGGGAAAAAACTTGGTTTTCATCAGAACTTTAAGGTATTTTATACTTTAAATTGGAGAAACTTAAAGGTATCCTGAGTACGCTATAACTGAATTATAATGAAGCATTTTGGCTGTTTCAAAATTAATGTTCTTGGGGATTGGTTTGGATGGTTTTTGCCCCCATATCAAGCCAAGACAAACTTGCAGAGTGTTGCCTAATGCATTTCTCACACAAAATGCCTGAATCGGACTCTATCTTTCTGTGTGTTGATCTGATGGTATCTTCTAGACTAAATAAAATTATTCTCTGACAAAAAGAGATAGGAGGGACGTTTTAATTTAGAGCTGTGGTATTAGAAATAGGAGTTGTCATTCCTCAGAAGGAAAGACAGCACTTGTTTTGCTGAGTGTAGCTAGGGAAAAAGCTTGGAATTTGGAACTATCAATAGGTCTGGTCTCACCAGACCTTTTCTGGTAGCTTCTCTGTGTTGGAATCCATCTGGAAAAAGGATTGAAATTCACAGAGGAGCTGACTATAAGAAATGTTCATGTGCTTTGAGATTAAAGAGTGGCAGATCCCATCTAGCAGAAGAGGAGAGTAGCTCTTACTTTTCTGCTTATATTCATGTTTAGGAAGTGATTAGCTTCCCTGGGTCTGCTCCCCAGCTTGCTAGCTCTGTGGATTCAGTGGGGGCATAGCACTTACCAAATATAATTTCTGTATTATCAGTCAGCAACAGCGTATCCTGTGGGTGTCCAGGCCTTATTCTGTAGTTAATGGTATCTGTTGAAAAAAAAATCCTGCCTGATGAAGAGCTAGCTCAGAGATCCTCCTCCCAGCCGTCCTCCTCGTGTGCCTGCATGCCTCCAGCACAGCTACTGGCCTGTGCTGTTCCTCTTTGGGTACCTCCTTGCTGGCCTCTGCTCATACACGCCTCGGATGGCACATCTGCTTCTATCTTTGAATGCTGGCAGACTCAAACCCCTTGTCCTTTGTCTCTGATCTGGAGGGACCTTGAGCTGCTGGTATGTACAGGACTTCTCATGCCAGAAATCTCCCTTGCTGTCAGAAATGGTAGTGTTATTCTCCCTTTCCCTCTGGTGTCCGTAAGCAGAATAACATTTCAGTTTTTAGCTATCTGCTTTTCAGCCTCTTGTCATTGGAATCGTGCACGAGGTCTTTAGGACACCAAGGGATTTAAGTGCCCAGGTCTCAGAGTGGTTAATGAGATGAGTGCCAAAGCTCCTGTTTTTTTGGTTTTTTGTTTTTTGGTTTTTTTTCTAAAGCTCCTGCTGGAGCATTTCAGGGTTGAATGAAATATTAGTGTTCTAAGAGGCAGGTGGACTGATCTAGCTTTGATACCTTACATGCTGTCTGTGTCCTCATGCCCTAATCACCGTGAGAATATCACTCACTCACTTCCCTCAGGCAGCTAAAATGAGGGCTTCTGCGCTCTTACACTATAAATCCTAAGTAACCTGATGTGTAGAAATAACTGCACATCTCCTTTCTGGCTAAGCCAAGTCTCTTCTGAATTGTTCTTCTTTTTTGTTTTTCCTCCAGCTGACAAATTGGATGCTGATTACATTGAGCGATATCTGGGCCAGCTGACTCCAATGCAAGAGAGTTGCTTGATCCGCCTTCGCCAGTGGCTTCAAGAAACGCACAAAGGCAAGGTGGGTACGTGAGGCAGAGAGCACCCCTTTGCAAGCCTGAACTCCGTTGTTCTCATAGCTTATGTGCCTTCAACCCCACAATAAAACTCAAGGTCGCGGACAATTTGTGTGTTGAGACTCAACTGTTTTGGCAAGGTTAGGTAAAAGGCCAGGCATGGAGAGTGGTCTGTGTGACCGCGCAGCAGGATCCAACAGATCTGCACCTGCATTGCCCAGTTCAGTCCTGTCAGTATTGAAAAGGCTGCTCTGTGGTCCCCGGGCATAGTGCGTTTGCTGAGTCCTTAGAGTAGGTGTTGACCAGGGCTTGGTGGCCCAGACTGGCCTGTCTGGAGGGGTTGTGTCTCCCAAGACTGCAGGGTGGGGTGGGAGAAATGGTTACTGCGTTGGTGGTGCGTCCCCTGTCTCTGGGCAGATGCTGCTGAGCAGAGACAGTTGTAGCACCGAGCTCTCAGCTGCTGCGCGCCAGCAGTGTGCTGCGGCGTTACGTCAGGCAGGTTGTGTAAGTTGTACAGCCGAGGGCTGAATTCTTTTGAGGAGAATTCATTCTGTTCTTGTTTTAATCTCCTTTATCAAAATGTACTATTTCAAAACCACACAGGATTTGGGAAGTAGAGACAGTCTCACCTTATGGTGTGAGGTACATTGTGTAAGCCTCCAAAACAGAGGAGCTGAGGGCACTAGATTGGGGCAAGTACAGCTGGAGTTGGCCAGCTAGTATAGGTGGAAACATTTTTCCCTGAGAAGCAACACGGGTACTGTGGGCTAGATGTATCTCTGCTTTGCGTTCAGCAGCTGCTTGGGCTCCTCCTGATCAGGCCAAGAGGGTAAGTGGTATGTGGCTGAGAAAATAAGACTCAGGGCAGCTTGAATGCCTCTAGAGGGATCTGACTCCAGATTTCCTCTCGGAGAGAGATTGGGTGGGAAGGAAGGAAGGACCAAGGATAGCAACAGAGTAATTGGCTGGGCTGGGTAGATAAAGAGTGCTTAGGAAGAGGGGAAAACAGGAGAAAAATGGTTGGAGCAAGTCATCTCCCTGAAAACAGTACAGCTAGGTGAGGTTTCAATGGTAATAGCTTCCTGGCTTAGAAGCTAACTGCTCAGTTAGCCATACATAATGGATTAGGAGGTACTCTGCATTCATGGGCTTTCGAAGATTTTCTTTTTTTTTTCTTCTTTCTTTTAACTGGCCTTTCCAAAAGAGACTACTGTTTGCAAGTAGATTTGTCAGTATTTTCTGCATGCCTTGCTGTATCTTTCTCAGAGCTGAGAGAAAGCATGTTTCATCTGAGTATAAGGAGTTTAGACATGATTTTTAAAACCCTGTTTTCACTTGGAAAAACTAATGTGTATCACCCATGTAGAAATAAAATGTAACAAGGTTTAATGCTATAGTTCTGTTGTTACTGAACTCGTGAAGTTGTCCTCTTCTGTGTGAGTGTGCACATGGGTTTTGTTCGTACCTATGAATGTGGATGGAGAAACAGTTACCAGAAAACCGCAGGCTGAAGAGAAGAACAGTATGTGTTGAGGTAGTGTGTGAAAGTATCCCAGCAGTTGATAAGCTCCAGAGACTAACAACGCTGTTGAATCTGCAAGAGCTGATAAATTCAGAACACCAAACATCTGCCAGATCTGTCCAAGGTCACGGTAGCATCAACAGGTTGTATAACTTGGACCACGTCCAAGAGTGTGGTGGCTGCTAGATGCAGGTAGAGACCACAGGAATATATATATACATATACCCGATGGAACAAAGCACCCCTTGAAAGACTGTCTGAACACCTACCTGCAAGCTGCTATCAGACCACTGTGATGCTCTGGGGCTGGCCTCCCAACTAACCAGATAACTGAGTATGTGTGACTGAACTGTGTGAATGATTACCTGCTGATAATAACAGATTAACTAATAAAACTTGCTCTACTGTATTACTTGTGATCTATGTCTCCCCGGATTCAACCTCCTGTCAGATAAAAGGGACTTGACAACAAGCGGACACAGAACAAAGGGGGCAGGGATGAATTCCCAGGTATAGTTGTGCTCTGAAATATAGGACACGAAGCTTTTCAGGTCCAGTAAAACAGTGTGGACTTCTGTGCGGTAGGAGATATCTCAGCTATTGGGTATCCAGCTGAAAATGAGCCCTAGATGAGAGTAAGACAGTGAGACTTTATCCATGTGTGATCTGCAAGGGTCTTGGTTTCAGGTGGAAGAAGCACATTCTAAAAGTTTGCCTGTTTTGTTCTGTGGGTTGTTTTTTCCCCCTCCTCCCCCCTCCTAGTCAGAGGCTGGGGAGTGGAAGGTGGAGAAGGTAGAAGTGACAGCACATGAGAAAAAGTGAAACAACTGCCTCTTGGGTGCTTGGAGCTCTGTAAGTGTGTGCAAACCCTTGTGCTTCCCTGACAGCTGCTTGCTGTGTTTAGGTCCCTTGGCAAGGTAGAGCTGATTGCTGAGCGCTCTTAGTGACAGCTGGGAGCTGCCTTGGACCCTTTTGTGTAGGCTTTGTGAGCTCTGTTCCCTACATGGTCTTGAACAAGTAGGAAAGATGGTGCTGGCTATTGAAACTTCATCCTAAATCCCCTTACTACTCACCTGTTTGCTACAAAATCAGGAACTTCTCCTACATGACTTGAGTTTTCCCTGGAGAGGCTGTTACCTTGCTGTGACAATCTGTTCTTTTAATTCGGAGCAGGGATGTCCTTATTCCTCTGTCAAAAAATACTTGTAGATCTCCTGTTTCTTGGAAACTGTCCCTTCTTATTTTTGTCCTCTTCATCCTATTTCACTATCCATTCCCTGTTCCTTCCAAAACAGATGTTGTTCTTTCTAATCAGATTTATCATTGCTTTAAAAAAAAAAAATTCAAATGGTGTTAAAATTGCAGATACTTAAAGCTCGTAATCAATGGCTTTGCACCATGTAGAACAGTACATGTAGTGTCACTAATAAATAGAAAAATAGGCTGAAATTAAAACTTCGTTTTCTTGCATATGGCAGTTACTGCTTTGGTTGGACAAAGATAAGGAAGAGACTAATTCCACTCAGAGTGGAGTAAGTCCCCTTAGAGCTCCCTGCCTTTGGTCCAAACAGAAGCGCTGAACTTGCCTCTTACCTGTAGCTATGTACAGGTATGTAGTATAGGTTTGAAACATTAAGAGTAGCAAAACCTTCTAACAGCCATCCCCTCTCCTGCAACTTGCAGGAGATCCAGGGGCTGTTGCAGATGTTTGTGGGTTTTGTCTGTTGTCTTGCGAACAACAGCTTCCTCTGAGCTGCAGAAATGCAAATCTAAATCATCTGATGAAAAGTCTGCTGTCTTTAATCTTGCTACGATGCAGAAAATTTTGGTGGCATTCTTGTAAATACGTCTAAGATCCTATTTGGGAAGGCTGCCCTTTTCCTTTCCATGACATACAAATGCAAAGTGCTAGAATATGCTGAACAGCATTAATCTCCCATCTCCTCTTCAGGTGCTTCTAGGCTTGGCTTTAGGCTGCCTGAACTCTTTCTTTATGTGGAATCAATTCTTAATCTCTCTTGCAGCTTCATACCACCTTGTGAAACCAAGATTGCTCCCAGCCTGACACTGCTGGGGGCTTTGCTTTCTTCCCTGCTTTCTGTTTTTGTTAGCATGTCAGTGAACAAACAAAAGAGCTTTGACTCCTGAACATGTGCTTTTTTTGTCTTACAGCAGGGCTCAGATCGCTTGCTTTGTGCTAAGCACAGTACAGATACTCCAGAGGAGACTATCCCTGCTTGACAGGACTTAAATTTTTAATGGAAATGTGATGTAGCGAATGAGGTCGAACAGTTTTGGGGGGAGTTGGGGTGAAGAGACTGAGTAATCAATAGTATATGCAGCTGTAATCCAGTTGTTTTGGCAAGTGACAGACTTTTAGTCAAATTTGGCACTTCTGTGGAATCTATCAGGGTTATTTGTTGAAATCTAGTATTACTAGCAATTTTTCTTTGATTTTCAGCTAAAGGGAACATAAGAGATTTGGAGGAAAGTTGGAATAAGCCATTCTAAGACTTGGTTTTGGAAGGCATTTGTGCCTGTGGTGCTAGAATTACTGATAGAAAGTGTTGGGATGGGTGATAGAGAGAGGGTATATTATAGTTCTAGTTGATTTGATTGTTTTGCAAGAGCTAGTATGATGTGATGGGGCAGGAAAGCCTGTGGAAGAACTGAAAAGCTTTCCTGTTCTAACAACACCAGGGAAGCATGGTCAACAGCAAAGCAGAAGAAGGGCCTGCACAAGAGCTGAAATTGGTGCTAGTGGGTAATCATTCAAAGACTGTACAGTCGTGATCCCCCTCCAAATAGTGAGTGCTTAACTTGGTTAACGTGTTACCTATGGATGCTTTCCAGCCTTTGCTAATTTGCCCTATGGGGAGGTAAGCTTGCAGCTCTATTACTTTCATTCAGTATTTTTTTTGTTCTTGTGGATAGGTAGCTGAGGGAAACTTTAGCCCCCCCAGAGTTTGCTGGGGCTTCTGGCAATTGGATCAGTGAAAGGCTTCTCGCAGGCTGTGCCTGTGCATGTGCAGTACTCGGATACATATCAAGCCCATATCTGTCAAAGGGGCATGAACTGGTCACTCCTTTTGTGCTCCTAGCACCGTCTGCTGCATTCAGCTGGATTAGTTGAGGAGGGAAGGAGGAGGAATGTAGGTTTAATATTTTTTATCTTCGTTTTAAGAGATTAAAAACCGGTGCATGCTCTGCAGGCTTTTCTGCAGGCTTTATGGATCCATGGTACAGGTAACGTACCAGTACTGATCCTCGGGCTTTCTCTTCTCTCAGATCCCCAAAGATGAACATATCCTTCGATTTCTGCGGGCTCGTGACTTCAACATCGACAAAGCTCGAGAAATGCTCTGTCAGTCACTGTCTTGGCGAAAGCAGTACCAGGTGGATTACATCCTACAGTCATGGAGGCCCCCAGCCCTCTTAGATGAATACTACACTGGAGGATGGCATTATCAAGACAAAGGTTAGAAGCTGCCCCTTTCATTGATACTACAGCACAGTTTGCATTATAGGACCTCATGAGTAACCTGGGATTTTTGGAGAAAGTTGTATTGACACTTTAAACATTAACAAAGCAATTCAACACCTGTAAATAGCCCCTCTGTTTTGCTGTGATTTTGTTATTTTATCTGTACAGATCAGGCAGACTAGAGCTAGTGCAAAGCAGCATCTCTTTGATAAAGTTGCCTTTGGATATGATTTTTATCCTCTTCAAATATTTAATGTGGCTTTTGTAAAAGGTACTAGAGTGATAGCCTGGGAGACTAGAGTACTTCCCTCTTTAAACCCTTATGCTTGTTTTGAAGATGGACGACCACTCTACATCCTTCGTCTTGGCCAGATGGACACAAAAGGTTTGGTGAAAGCTCTGGGAGAGGAATCACTGCTGCGACATGTAAGTTGTACTTTCATTCCTCACCTGAGGAACTCTATTTCCCTTGGGGTGTTCAGAAGTCTGTTATAGTGCAGCAGTGACAGAAATAATTCCTGTGTTTCGTGGCTGGCAACTCAAAAGTTGGCTTGGTGACTTTGGCATAGCTTCTCTGTCTTCCTGCAGAGACACAGAAGTGAAGCTTTTGTAATGGTATGAATGGGCCAGAAAGATGTTTTCTGATAATTTGCAGTTTAGCTGTAAGCTTTCCATGGCCATTTCATGCAGCTCAGCTGAAAACATTTGATCTTGAGACTCTTATATTTCATCTTAGATTTTCAGTATCTGTACCTTGTATGGTCAGCACAACTTTTCACTAGAGAAGCCTTTTTTTCTTTTGATGTAGACTCTTATTCTCTGTTTTGCACACTGCAAGTTCTCAAACTGGTATACTCTGGGTTCTGTATTGTTTTAAATAAGATCTCTGGGCTATCCTGGTTTCTCAGGCTAATCCTGGTCTGTACTGTCTTTGATTTCAGGTTCTGTCAATTAATGAGGAAGGACAAAAGAGATGTGAGGAAAATACCAACATCTTTGGCCGCCCCATCACGTTAGTATAGTTAGTTTTCTTGTATCCTTTCAGAGTTTGAACTGACATGGTGAGAAGAATGCTTCTGTGAAGATTTGAGATGATGTCCTTAGGGTTAAACTGCAGGCAGCAGTGTGTCTCTGTTATGGGCTGTTCCTGGGCTTGGGGTACCATATATAGTGGACTTAAATGCAGATAAATTCTACAGCTTCATATAAAAGCAAGTATTGGTCCTTCCTTACATCTTTTTATGTCCCATTTCAGATGAATTTAATCTTGCTACCTTGGTGATTTTAATCCAGATCCTTGAAATTCTTTTTTTAAAACAGGAAACTGTCTGCCAGATTCCACTTTCATTTAAAATGCATTTTTGAATTATTTTTAGCAATAGGCCTGCATATCTTCACCCTCTTCCACACTGACAGCATATGTTCTTGCCTTCGGGGTTGGGTGTCTGTTTTACCTGAAAGCTCAACTGGATTCAGGCTGTCTGCTGCCTGAGTGGAGATCTACTTTTTACTGGAACTGCTGGTCTCCCTTGTTGGCTTCGCTAGATTCTGTACAGGCTGTGGTGTTACTGAAATATTTTGTGGATCATAAACTGAGCAGCCACTGTGCAATGAAGTTCTGACAGGTCTTTTTCTGCATGTTTATTTTAGATCCTGGACATGTCTGGTGGACTTGGAAGGGCTAAATATGCGGCATCTCTGGCGGCCTGGAGTTAAGGCCCTCCTTCGGATAATTGAGGTTGTGGAGGACAACTACCCTGAAACTCTGGGGAGACTGTTGATAGTGCGAGCACCCAGGGTTTTTCCTGTGCTCTGGACTCTGGTGGGTGAAATCTGGACTGCAGGATCATAAGCACTTGCGCATGTACAAATAGCTAAATCATCCAGTCAGTGTAAGTTCTGTTTATTTGAATAGTTGGAGAGGGAAAAGCTTCCAGGTAACTTGTGGCTGAACTCCTGAAGAGGCCACAGCATTGCTACAGAGTGAGCCATAGCATGCCTGTAGCTCATTTGATTCTAGTGGCTGTCGTCCACCAGGGCAGGACAGGATGTCGGATCTAAACTGCAAATCCTCATGCAGCAGTGGTAGCCCAAACTTGGTGGGTTTTCATATTGATGGGAAAAGACAAGTATTTTTTAATCTCACGCTGGAGGACACTGAAGAGAAGAATATAAATATAGTTCTGCCTGGTGCCTGCTGTTCTGGCAATGTAAGAACATGCTTGTTAAATTTCTTTTGAGGTTTATATGTGGTATGGTGACTGCAAACTTATTTTACATAAAGTAGAAAATGTTGTGAGACGACGATATAGTACACTTTCCATTTGTTGCCCCTTTCTTTGGGGAAGTGCTTCAGAGTTGTGAAGCTCTGCACTACTGCTGGTCTGCATAAAAAAAGTCCAGAGCCTAAAGCATCCATGTAAGATGGTATAAACATTGTCTCTAACTTCACCCAGTGACAGTGATGTCTTCTGTCCACTTTTTATTTCAGGTCAGTCCCTTTATCAATGAGAACACAAGGCAGAAGTTCCTTATTTACAGTGGAAATAACTACCAGGGTCCAGGAGGGCTGGTAGACTATGTGGACAAAGACGTGATCCCGGACTTCCTGGGAGGAGACTGCATGGTGAGTTTTCCTTCCTGTTGTGCAGGTGGAATCTGCAATGTGCAAGCTCCCTCGGTTCCCTCCTCCTCAACACCCTGGCCTTCCACTCCCTTCTGAAAGATGGTTAAACCTCTGTTCTGGCTGGGATGCCACTGCTCTGAGCAGTGCAGTTAATTTGTGCACAGGAGACTTCACTCTGAAGTGGTGATGCTGCCCTGGAGAAGGGGCTTAGAGGTCAGCTCTCTAAATGGAGTTTAGATAAATCGTCGTAGTTCAAGTAGACTTAGTCCCACTTACGAAATCTTATGCCAGCTGAGGGTGTCGTCCTCTGTGTCTGACAGCAGGCAAGTGTTCATGGACAAATGACTGGATAATTTACCACTAAATGAGCATGAACCCTCATATTTGTTTGTCTGACTCTTCCAGTGTACTGTCCCAGAAGGTGGACTTGTTCCCAAGTCACTTTATCAAACAGAAGAAGAGACAGAGAACTCGGATCACATCCGGTTGTGGACAGAAACTATCTATCATTCTGCGAGTGTCCTCAAAGGAGCTCCACACGAGGTACGAACCAGAACTTCATAAGGCTGAAGGAGGCACTGAAGTGGTATCAGTGACACGTTCTTTTTGTTAACGCTTACTAGAACAACGAAGGGCTCCCAAAGTGTGAGCACGAAATGGTTCAG